ATAATTGCCACGCGAGGAGGTTAAACTTGGATGACCCCCTCATAGGTGGACAAATGGGCGAAACATGATTGAGTCGACAAAACCCGGAACACCAAGAAGGACTGCCTGAGGTGCCTACGACAGCAGCCCCTAAATAGCTCGAAAGTCAGTTCGCGGCCTTAGAAGAAAGGTGGAGGGCATGCTTCAACGAATGACCCAACTACTTCAACAACTAGAGCCATGAGAGGCCAGCGAGGTACCCCTCGTCCGAGATCCCTGAAAAGGGAAAAGGCCCGGTAGAGAGTGAGACTGAGGAGTCAACGAATAGTGCAGGGAGCAAATTCAGGCTAGGAGGCAATAGCAAATGACGAACTCGGATTTTCAACTCTCAAGGCCAACAAACGGACAAAAGTGACAGAGGTCTCCGGTACCAGATGAGAGCAAAAGCAACAAAGATAAACAGAATGTGGAACCCATAGACCTCGACAAATACAAACTGGTGGATCGACCTAAATTGTCCGAAAAACAACAAAGTCAAAAGGAAAAGAGGTTCGATTAGAAGAACTACTGGATCAAGTCGATTCGCCATTTACAGAAGAAATCATGGTGGAGAATGTCCCTTCAAAAGTCAAGCTACCAACTGTGAAACAGTATGATGGGTCACCGACCCATTAGATCACTTTGACGCCTACCGAGAATGGATGGACATCTATGGGGTATCAGAGGTGATCAGATGCAGGGTATTCTCGACGACTTTGAGCGGGTCGACCAGGGTATGGTTTCAACAGCTGAAACGAGGATCGATCTCAAGTTTCAAAAACCTGGCCAGGGCGTTTGTGACCCAGTTCGTGGGAGGACGAAGTCGAAGTCGACTCGTAACTTATCTACTGACCATCAAATAGAGGGCAACAGAGAGCCTACACGACTACGTGGCTAAGTCCGACCAGAAAAGGGAGAGATCTGGGGATAAGCCTCAATGGTCGAGATGAGAGAAGAGAGATCGGATCAGCCAGAAGGATCTGCCCCAGAAATTTGAGAAGTATACCTCAACCTCAGCCTCATCATTAGGCTGGGTCGGGTCGGCCCAGCCCAAAGAAGTAATGGCCCAAGCTTGGCCCATGCCCAAACCCTATGGGCCTCAAGTATTGTTTGGGCAGGGCTTGGGCTGGCCCAACCACTCAAACTTAGGCTCATAGCCCAATCCATGGGCCTAAGTTGATGAGCCAAAGTTGGATCGGGCTTGGATCGGCCCGTATATTAATATATTTTTAATTATTAAATTTTAAAATTTAAATAATTTACAAACTAAGTTTTTTATTTTTAAATTCTAGAATATGTGTTTTTATATATGGTACATCTTTTTTGTTATTTTTATAATCTTACTCATAAATTTTATTATGTCATATGTTACAAATTTAAGTTGCCTTATTTTTAAAAATTATATTTTTTATTTTTAAAAATTAAATTTATAATTTTTAACTTTTAACTTTATACAAGAGAAATTGAAAATTTAAACACTTTGAATTGGAACGTGAGAGAATTTCAGAGTGAGAATTAGAATTAGAATTTGAGTCAAGAAAAAAAAAGAAGGTTGATATTTATAAGAAAATTTTATATTAAAAAAATTTTAAAAATTACAACCTAAATATTTGATATGTTTAAAATAATTTTAAATTTTGAATTTGGAAAGTTGGAGAGTTTCCTCGTAATATGTTTCAAAACAATTATTTAAATGAGATATTGGGGAGTGGTAGAGTCTCTTTGGTAATATGTACTTATGTAAGAGGGAGAAACAAAAGATCCTACTTCCTACATGTTTGCCTACCATATCTAATTTATTTTTTATAATAAATAAATATATTAATATTATATAATATAAATATTAATAAATATTGGATCAGGCTTTTGGGTTGGCCCGAATCCAAATACGGCTCAAACGGGCCGGCCAAAAAATGAATATCCATATCCAATCTAATTAATAGAAGGATTGGATTGGGTCGGGCCGGTCAAACGTTGACCTTGGATCGAGCTTGGATCAGGCTTAGGCTGGGCCTGGGCCGGCCTTTAGGCCTCGGGCCCGATGATGAGGCTGACCTCGACCATGGTCCTACTCGAACAAATGTTGATGGAAATCAAGGACCAAATGTTGCTCAAATGGCCAGAGAGGATGAAAGCACCTCCCAATAAAAGAAGTAGACGGCGATATTGCCTTTTCTATCGAGACCATGACCATGCCACCCAGGATTGCTTTGATCTCAAAGAATAAGTGGAAGGATTCATCTGGAAAGGATATCTCAAAGAGTATGTGGAAGGCCCTAAAGCGACGCAGAATAGTGAGAACGACTGTAAGTCACCTACTCGAGAAATCAGAACAATAATGAGGGGTCCAGTAGAGAGAGAATCGGGCAGAAACAGGAAGACGAGTGTGCGGGAGACTCGAACGGCCCTCGGGCGACATGAGGTTTACTATGCATTTGTAGTAGAACCACAAGCAGTAATTGAGTTATCCGAGGATGAGGCGACCCATCTCCTTCACCCACACAACGATGCACTGGTAATCACTCTGAAAATAGCCAATGCGAAGGTGCACCGGATCTTCGTAGATTGGGGCAGCTCAATAGATATCATCTCCCTGGCGGCCTACAAAGCCATGGGTTTAGGAGACAAAGGTCTTAAGAGTAGCTCGGCACCGCTATTAGGATTTGGAGGAGAGCGAGTCATTCCTGAAGGAAGAATAGGCCAGTGACATTTGGAAGTGGGCCAAAGAGCGTCACTAAAATAGTAGATTTTTTGGTCGTCGACTACGCATCCTCCTATAATGTGATATTAGGTCGGCCAACAATGCACATGCTCAGGGCGATACCATATACATATCACCAGTCTATGAAATTCCTAACAAGTATCGCGCGAGTACTACTACACTTCAATGAAGGGCAACGATAAGGCTTTTACTTTGGGGGGGCATTGATTTCTTTGTTTTCTTTCTTTACTCTTGCTCTTCAACTAACGAGCGTGATGGATTTAAGATTGTTTCTTTTTATGGTTTTCGGGAAATTTTAGATTATTGATTTCTTATACTCAATAAAGTGTCTGTTATTTAGGTTCCCTGTCAACTCTATCTTCATAAAAAGCACTCTGTCTCATCTACAAGCATACTATCAAGGAGCAACAATCGACAATACGCTACCTTGAGAGTAGGGGGCATCACAGCTATAAGATAAGCGCGATAGGTCATAATCAGAAGACTCGAAGAGGCAGACAGCCCAAGTTGAGCAGGGCTCGGATCAAGCCCCTACTCGGCGCCGACCAAGGCTCGGGTCATTCGACTTTCTTCTCTCCTATTACTTAGAGTATAATTAGACTACAATTAAGACACGACTCTACATAGACAAAATTGGAAAGAATGATTAAACAATATCAACATGGCCAAACTAGAAACGGGTCAATTGACCTAGCATGGTTAAAACGTAAGATGGAGTAAAGTCAAAGGCTAAATGACGGCAGGTGCAAAACCATTGGCCAAAGCCAAAGGGTTAGAAACCTATGTAAGTAAAGGCAGCAAAGTCAACTTCATCAGAGTTAGAGCCGTAAGCCAATATTTGTTGGTAACAGAGGATTAATTGGTGATTCCGAAAAGAGATACAAACGAAAAAGCAATGCCATAAATTCGTAAAAGCACTAAGTACAGGCAAAGCAACTCGTTACCCTTTGAGGCTACCCTACTACTCATCGTCATCGTCACCCATGTCGACAGGAGCGTCATGCTCAGTTTTAAAACGCTCCGGAAGGAAGGAGTAATCAATATCGGGGTGTGTATTAGAAACCTGGCGAAGGGACCAGGAAACGCCACACTCCATGGCCGAATTTTGCAAGTCGACGTACTTTTGAGTTTTCTTGAATTCCTTAGCCAAGAATTCAGAATCAGTGAGTCGAGCGTTGGCTTCATCAAGCCTTCTCTGCAGGTTGACCAGCTGGTCTCGAGATTTTCTCTTCTCCGTTTCTAGCTCAAGCCAGGTGTTCTCCAGAAGGTTGTTGGCCTTATCTAAGGAAGAGAGAGCTTGATTCAACTCTTCCCCGAGAAGCATAGTGGTAGCGGAGGTGGTTAAATTCATCGGCAACCCGACCCGAGAATACCACTAGACGATTGAAAACTTGCCAAGTTAGAAACCAACATTAGGGGGAGATGCTATGACAAATACTTGAAGCTACAAACTACTCAGCGTATGGAGGTCGCTGAGGCATGTGTTGATGCTGTATTGAGGGTTTGATGGGCCAAAATCTGATCCGCTCGATGATTCACCGTGTAACGCCCCGCGTTCTTTGGCTCGTTTATTTTAAGATATAAATAGTGACTTTGGATTTTTCCCAAAGCTGATAATTTTAATTTTTGAATTTTATAATTTTGGAGTTCTAATTTTGGGTAAATTAGAATTAAATTCGTCGGATTAAGAGAAATTAAGTTTTCAAATTTTGGAAAGAGATTTTATTTCGATCTTAATTCATGGTCTTGGAAATCTAATTTTCCCTTTCTGGACTTTATTCTTGGGTTTTAGAGTTAAAGTTAATTATCTTATTTTGGGTTGTTATGGGATTTACTTTAATTAATAAAATGTAATTTTGGACTTCTTATTTTTGGGTCGGTGGTTTTATTTAGTTGGGTCTCTTTTAAAATTTGAGAATTTAGGTATTGGTTTTAAAACAAGTTGGTAAATAAGAAGAAAAGAAAAAGGGAAAAAAATAAAGAAAATCAATTTAGGTCATCTCTTTTCCCATTTCCCCTTGCCCTAGCCGCCCCACTCCTTCCTTGTCTTCTTCAGCCGCCATCCACCATTTCTCTGTCATCTTCTCCGGCAACGGTAGCAAGGCATCACGACCCACAGCCTAGCGATGGTAACT